ATCTGTGTAGAGTCTGCAGACAGCTGGGGGAAATCATTGGTTTCTACCAATTCATACCAATTTTCAGTCTCTAAACTTAAGCGAGGACATTACAGGAGACAGAAGGGACCATTGTGCACCGCAGTGCTTGGGAAGGCTGTGGTGTGGACTCTGTCTGTGCTTTCCACAGGGACCTTTCCCTGGGCACAGGAATGGCTGGAGCCAAACTCTTCTGTGGGGTTTCTCCAACTGTTGGTGTAGAGGATGGCGGCGGCAGCTCGTTGTTTCGTGCAGGATCTCTCCCTGCTTTCACTGCGATGGGTCAATTGACTTGTTTAACGTTTTTTATGCCTGCTTTGGAGATGGCTTTCCTGCTTAAGAGAGCATCAAAATTAATTAGCAGTCCTCTGGTTAATAACAAAATCAGCAATTCAAAAAATGTGATCTCTTGCTGTACACAGCCGTGTGTTTACATTGTTCTCATTGCTGGAAGATAAGAAGGAGGCCCAGATGGTGGTGACATTGGAAGTGGTTCCTTTCCTGTTATTTGGTGGTGCTACTTACACGAATAAGTACTTGGCTATTGAGAATGCATTATTTAAACACTAAGTTGACTTTTTCGGGAGGGTTGAGGGTTACGATGTGTTATCATTTTGTGGTCTAGATTTATTGTGTAGTGAATGCAATTCATGTGTGCTGCACTGAGCAAGGAGTAAGAGCAAAATAAGTGGACTCATTTACAATGCTTCAGGCTTAGAAGGCTGACATTTAGTCAATCTTGGAGCCTCTTTCTCCAACCGATGACGAATGTTTCATCCATTTCTTGCCTCAGTTGGTATTTGGACACAAAAGGAATGTTTCAGGAGCTGTCTGCAGCGGTGCTGCAGTCTGCAATAGCACCAGGGAATGGCTTTGTTGTGTGTCTGAAAAAACCTGGTATGAGGTGGTGTTGCCTCTGAAGTTCTCTCCAGGGTCAGGTGTTTGAAAAGGTGCAAACTGTCGAGCTGGCAGCTGCCCCACAGCCCTCCCAAGATGTTCCTCCTGTAGGTACCTGGCCCCGTTCCCCTCAGGGCACTCAGGCTGTTGGCAGTGCTGCTGCGCTCGCCCGATGCAGCTGGAGGTGCTGTTGTGGCTGATGTGCAGTGCAGGAAGGTGTAAAACAACAGTACAGTCAGCATGGTTACCATGTGTGGAAGCGTGCTTGTTCTGCGTGTATCAGAAGAAGGCAGAGGTGTGGAGAGAGCAAATGTTGCCACTGCTGCCCACAGCTGCACTGATGGGACGCGCTCATAGAAGAGCCACAGCTCTGCCACAGCTTTGTGCCCCGACTGATGGCTGGTGACAGGGCTGCCGGCTTCGTGTCGGGCCGTGTCTGATGGCCTGGTGCTGACAGCCTGGGTGGGAGATGTTCTTCTTTGCCTTCCTGACTCACAGCTCTGCTTTCCCACCTGGTGCTGTGGGCTCTGCTGCTCTGGGCTGGGATGGGGCGCGCAGTGGGACGGGTCCCCAGGGAATACGAATGTCAAATGCCATAAACTTCACCACACCCATCTTCACTAAAGTTTGAACCTTGAGCTGGGTTTGAAAGTCTCTGGTAAATGATTAACAAAGGAATGGACTTAGATAAACAGCGTGGTTTGTACAGACCTGCTTACCGGAGCTGCATCTTCTTTAAGTCTTCTCATTTCCCTTCATGTCTCCTCAGTGAGAAATTATAAACAAATATCTGTGCAAATAAAACTTGTTTAGGTGTGAATAACTTCTGAAAGGTATGGGAGTGGGCTTCAGTCCCCTTTCTCAGCTAACACATTGCCTCCGAGAATAAAAGTAACTCGTTTATGAACTTGGAACCATTGCGTTTCAGAATGCTTTCCTCTCCCATTTGGACCTGTTTATGTTTTCTTCCCTTTGGGCCAGAGTCATAGTTTGTTAGGGTTTGGTTGAGTTCTGAAACACTACTGCAAATCACCGAAGGATAACAATAATGGTTATGTTATGGGGTGTAAATCCTCACTTCTTGAGGGACACAACCCCTTGGGAAGCAGTTTTGTTGTCTTTGTCTCCTTCTTCCTGTGACTTTGTGAGTAAAAGATTTGTATTGAACACCAGGCGAGGTTGCTGCGGTGCAGGGCTGTGCCTCCCATGAGCTGCTCGCTTTGGCTGTGGATCAGATCTGTGAGGCTCCTGGCTGGGATCGCCCTCGGGATCGCTGTGCTGCTGCACCTGGGGCAAGCAGGAGGCGAGGAGGGACTGTCAGCATTCGACACTTTCCTCCTTTATTAGTAAATACTGGCCTTATCTGATAGAGCCAAGCTGGAAAAGATATGCCAGGAACCCAGATTAGATTGTTGGCAACTGCTTTATTAATTGATACCATCATTTGTTTTTAGTTCTGCTGTTCTATTTGATTCTATTTAGTATCTATCTGTTGTCTTTATCATGTAGTGATTTCTGTGATAGTAGTATAGAAGATGAGCCTAATTAAACATTAAAGGGGATTGAAAACTTTCAGTAGAATATGCTTGGCGCTGCCACCATTTCAGTGACAGTTCATGGATGATTCCTTGAAAATGTTTTTGTCATAAATTCACAAGAGCTCAATTTTTTGGATCTATATTAGTAGTCTGCAAAACTATGCATAGAAAAAGACGCTTCTGTCTCTTCTCATTTCGGAATGTTGAATGATCTGCAGCTCTCAAGTGATGCATGCCTTACTTACATTCTAGGCTCTCCATTCGCATTTCAGTGTTCAAACTGGGATTTGTAGTGTAAGAAAGGGTGCCACCGGACCTGAATCTTTAATAACATAGCCACAAATCGTTTCGTCCAGCAGCAGTCTGCTGTATAGACTGTAGGGTGTGAATTGGACCCAACTAATATGGAGTGAGTATTGTGGCATTGATCACTGATAATTGTTTGCTGTGAGCCATGCAGCCCCGGGTCGGCTCTCATCACTGACCTCCTGTGAAGGAGCAGCTGGGCTCCAGCTCTGCTTTATGACGGGGGAGCGACCAGCAGCTGCTCACGGCCAACTCTGGTTTATCCTAATCGAACATCATCGCATGCAGCTTGGTGATAAGAAGCAGAGATAGATTTGAGTCCTCGACTTCCTTACCTGTGAGGTCGGTTCCCTTGCAAAACTGTCACCACTCATGCAAACCACCTCCTGCAGGGCAGTGGGCCCTAGCAAGCAGCGGCTTCTGTTGTTACGTGACGCATTCCTGGAGTGCTTCGGTGCTGAGGAGGGCAGGCAGGCTTCGTAGAAATGAGTGTGAGTGTGTAATTAAAGACGTGTGTTTGTAAGGACATCAGATGAGCATAACCGGGGTGAATTCCATTCTGCCATTGCTTGGGTGTTGTGCACTTCATTGTGCAACCTAAATATTTTATTATGTTTTTCTGCTCCTTGAGAGAAGACAAATTATTTAGAAAACATAGAAAGGCCATCCTGTGGGTCATTAACAGCGTTGTAATCTACTGATGAGTGCAGCTTTAGTTGAGGGATTAGCTAGCGATGGTGGTGATAGTTGTCGTCATCTTTGTAGAGTAATAGAATAGAGAAAGTGTTGCTGCATTTCAGGTATTTTCTGAGAGCAAAGGACGAATGTGATGGAGTTGAGTCCTTTTCCAAGTCCTGGGGAGGACTGGTGCTTCCTGGGTGGGCTTTCTTCTCTTTTTCCCCAAGCCTGTCTCATTCTGCCTCACTCCGGCTGCAGCCTTTCTTACTGAATCCTTCTCTCCACCCCTTGTTCCGTTCTTGTTCTTTCTATTCAGATGAATTCCTTTGCCAGCCTTTGTACCAGGTTACTGCAGCAGGTCCCCATCGCTGCTGTCTGTCCTTCAGCTCTGCTGTGCCCCGTGCTCATGCAGCCCCCCCGTACTCCTGAGCTGTTGTCTATTTCTCAATTCCTCTGTGGGGATGCAGTGTGAAGAGCTGACTTGTTCAAAATTCAAGCCCTCGGGGTGCTGAAGGGTTTTCAATTGCTCTGAAATTTAATTTTTTTCTGAATGTTTGAATGTTTTTTACGCATATGACCAAATTTAGTCAGGTTTCCTTGGGGGGGGAAAAGGAATATTCTGTTAAAAAGTCAGTCCATGTTCTGAAATTTGAAGTCCGCTTTGGGGAATGAGAGTTTTCTGGGATTTTTCTGAATAGAGGCACCAGGGTCTCAAAATCAGAGTCATTTTTCTGTCCTCATCTAAAAAATTGCTGGAGCCCTACTGCATCAAATTTTAGAATCGCTGGAAGCCAAGCATGCAGTATAGAAATCTCATCTAAAAGATTAAAACTTTTGTGATGCTCAACTCAGCAAAACCTGCTGTGCAGGCTGTAAGGAGTTCAGGTGGCAGCCTGAAGCAGGCGAGGCACTGGGCTCTGTGCTGAATAATCGGCCCCTGAAGGTTGGCAGAGCTGCTGCTGGTTCAGACCTTATGGGTGGGAGCAGCTCAGAGGTGGCTGTGACGGGCTGTGTGCTGTCCCAGCAACAGTTCTTGGTTTAAGAAGTAACCCTTTGTCAGTGGACTGGGTGTTTGCACAGGAATACCACATCCTCAAATTAAGAAATGCTATTACTTTCCTGAAATGCTGGGGTGAGAGGATCTTTTATTACTATAAATATGTGACTTAATTTGCAGTTTCTTGCACAGAAGTGTCCTGATACAAAACTCGATGCTGGTAGTGGAAGGCGAGGACTTAATGCAGACTGCGGGGAACGCAGCCATAATGAAAGCAGTATGGAATGAGAGCGTGCTGTAGGAGTCAATTTTATAGACTAGGATCACTGCACAGGAAACTTGGCTTCAGAGATGGGTAAGGGAAGTGATCTTGACGCAGTCAAATAGGCAGCAGAGCAATCCGTACGGCTTTTCTTACGACTCACAGAGATTGGTGGTTAAATGTTTCTGGGTCTGGTGCACGGAGCTGTGAGGATAAAGGACAAGGCAGCCCATTTCTCACCATCGTATTATGTTTGCCAAAAGGCCACAGATCTTAATTCATATTTTCATGCCTTTTTTCCCAGCCCTGGACTGAGATCAGATGTAAGCTCTTCTCCATCCACAACCTCAGCGACTACGGGACCACCTCCCAAGCTCTGCCTCGTGTGTTCTGACGAGGCCTCTGGGTGTCATTATGGTGTTCTTACTTGTGGCAGCTGCAAAGTGTTCTTCAAAAGAGCTGTGGAAGGTAAGTCTTGTTTTAAACAACGCATTCATCAAGACTGTAAGGTCCAATTCCATATGTGACCGGCCAGAGCCAGTCCTGCTGGAGCCCATTATTGCTCGAATCCTCCTGGGGAGCCAGCCCTGCTATCGCTGTTCCTTTCGTAGTAAAAATAACATTGATATTGGTGTGATTTTCTGTAGCATGGATTCTCTTTACGTTTATAAAACGCTCCCATTCACTCCGGATAAAAAGGTGCGTTGTTATCTTTGCTTTTTGTTTCCTTCATTTTCTTTCAGTGTGGTTTTTGTTTATTTGTCCTGATTATATACAGACGTGTCTGCGTGCGTTGAATTCGCAGTCTGTGGTTCTAAGTTTCATACTCATTGATTTGTGCATGATGATGTGTGTGAAATTGGGTAGCGCTTCTGCAAGGTTGGGAGAGTTTCACAGTGTTTCCTGTCAGCAGTGTTGGTTACGTTACACGTGTGTAACATATATGGTGTACGCAGGGTAATTTACAGGGATGTGTGGGTCGGGGTCGTTGGGATTTCTCTGTAAGCACAGGAAGGACACGGCGGTGAGGAGCATGGAATGGGAGTCTAGAGCGGTGCTGAGCGCCCAACTGCTCACTGCAATATCAGCATCAGAGACAGAAGGAGCACAGAGCATCGCTGTGTGCTGAAAGGGCAGCAGTGGTTCCTGCACTGCCGTTACACAATACAGGAAATCCCTCACGCAGGGCTTCCCGTCCCGTGCCTGTTTCGGGCAGTCCTTACTGGGTGTGATGAAGTGAGTCACGCTGTCATGTTTTGCTAACGTTTTTGCAAGCTGGATTTCACTTGAGAAGGGGGAAGGCTGTGTTTCACAAAGATGCATCGGCATTCTGTCCTTAGAAGAAGGACTGGCCCTGTGCTCCCAACTCACCCAAAGCAATAGGAAATGAAATGACGCAATGGGAAACGGCGTGGAAGCGCAGAGCCTCTCTCAGAGGATCCGAGGATGTTCGCAGGCTGTGCTGCTGCCCTTTGTGGGGAAGGATGTCGTGTCCGTGGCACGCTGAAGCTGCTTCTGAAGTACCATGAGAACCAGCTCCAGTACAGAGCGCCGGGCTGTCCTTGGCTCTCGGCTTGTCCTGTCTGAGATGTGCTCCTGTCTGCAGCCAGGCTCCTGGCTGGGATGAATAATCATCTGTAGCTTGGAGAAGGGCGCTGGATATCCCCCAGAAGCAGCTCTGTGTGGCAGCTGAGTGCGTCACAGCGACAGTTCTGCCTGTTCCACAGCCTTAACCAGGGAAGGAAGCATTGATACATGAAGAAATCAGTCCGGTGATTGCTGTGATTGGTGATGTGACTTTGCAGATCTTGTACCAACTGTGTTGGAGTTAAATATGTAAAGCAGGGTTGGAGCTGTAAAACTGCAACGCACTCCTAAAGGTTTACCTGCACTTTCATTCTCTTACTGTTCCACAGATTGTCCCAATCGTCATCCTTAAGATTCGATATTATGGATGTTTTCAGGAGCTCTTAAAGGATCTGTGAGTTTTAATATTACCTTAAGGAACAAAAAACTTGGTTTTAGCTCTTACGAGCATTTTTCTCTTTAGGAATATATGTAGAAAGAATTTATTTCTGCACAATTGCTTTCATTAATATCTGCCAAGCATCTGTTAGTGTACAGATCCAGCAAACTGCATACCCACTGTAAGCCTGGAAACTCCTTCTGCACCTTTGTCTGCAGTCATATACACTGCAATGGAAATGATTACAGAAACTGAAAGTTTCAGTGTCCAGGTGAATATGAGGTGTATCTCGTTCAGCAAACTGTAGAACTAGAGGAAAAGAGGGAGGATGAAGGTGGGTCAACTGTTCTGTATTTATAGCCATTCTCACACAAACAAAGATCCTTTCTTCAGGAATCCAGGATAGCAAAAGCTGTCTTGTTCTAGTTCTTATTTTCACGGTGCCTCGGAGCCCTTATGGTTGTTTCTGCAGGCCCAGCCCCACACCTCCCTCCTGTTTCCACCTCTCCTGCCAGCCCACATCTTCTTCCCTCCTCCCACCCCCGCTTTCATCTTGCCTCAGATTCTCACACCTCCCTTCTGTGTTAAATCCCTTCCAACACCCCTGCCTCCTGCAGTGCTCCAGATTGTGCTTGTTCTCCAGCCCTTTCCACTCCCAATCTGTTTTAAAGAATCCTTCATTCCTCTGATCATCACAACCCATCAGAGACGGGGACATGCTTGTGCCCAGGTGGTGCGGTGCAGAGCAGCAGTGTTGTCTGGATGCTCTGCAAAATGCCAACATCTGCAGTAAATTCTCTTGGAAGCATCTCAGTTTGCTCACTACCAGATTTCACCAGTGTGTTCTTTAAGTGTCTTCATTTTTTTAAGCAGCAAAGGTAACTGAAATGTCTACGTTTGGCTGGCGTGTCTGCAGGGCAGTGCTCTGACTGTGGGAAGCAGGAGGTGGAAAGATCTCATTTTTCACCAAATGCTAATGTGACAGAAGAGCTTTACTATACTGTTATACAGAGAAATAATGTGATTTCCATATGAAAAACAATATAAAAAGACAATAATGGCTAAGCAGTAGATACAAGAAATCCAAATAGTACATGGAGATGGAACTCCAGAAGTTTGACGAAGGCCACAAGATGGACTCTGCATACCTGAAATTTTCACAGTTGATTTCAAACTAATTCCTTAATCACGTCTGTTTCTATAAGAAGACTCCTAGACTCCATTGTTAGTAACTGAATATTTGGAAGATACTTTTGTTCCTCTTGCTGTTATCCATCAGGACATTGACGTGCAGTGTAAGAGCCTGGGCTGCAGCTTTGTTCCACCACCACTTCTGTTTCTTGTTCCCTGTCTGGGAGAAGGACATACCTCTTAGCAGTGCCTTTTTCTAAAGGAACCTGTGGTTATACAATTGTTCATATAACTCAAATCATTAGGAACAGATGTCGTTCTTGATATCATTCTCCACTGTTTCCCTTCTGTTAACAGCAAAGCAATGTGCTCATTTTAATAGGTGTCCTTCAGGTCACCACATTCCTGGGGCCAAATTTTTGGTGTGAATCTGAGCGGCCGTGGAGATGTCAGAGTGCTTGGTTGTCTGCTTCTGAATGGAACAAGGGCTACTCAGCTTCTAGAGCGGTGGCAGCTATTTCTATATGTCAGGAGAGATGTTGAAATGTATACTTTCCAAATGTGTTTGTGAATGTTATTTATATCTCATGTGAAATCATTCAGGGGAATTGTAAACATGCCATGGAGGCTTAGAGCTTTCTCCTAGCTTGGAGAAATGTAAGAGAAAAGGAGTTGTAAAAATAGAACTTGCCCAACCTTACCAAACAGAAAACAGGATTTCTCCTAAGCGTGTTGGCATCGGTGTCTGAATGGCAGAAGAGTGCTGGGTTTGTATTTGCTGGGAATCATCTGGCTACTGATTTTGTTTTGCAATAAAAGGAGTGCGGCAGTAGGGACGTCCCGCAGTCCCTTCGTGCTGCAGAGACAGAATGACTTCATCTGGTTGCAAGGTTGGTGGTGACTCTGTGTGTTTCTGTGAATGCAGGGCAGCACAACTATCTCTGCGCTGGAAGGAACGACTGCATTATTGACAAAATCCGGCGGAAGAACTGCCCGGCGTGCCGCTATCGGAAATGCCTCCAGGCGGGCATGAACCTCGAAGGTAATCCTCAGCGTCCCGTCCTGCTTTTGTTTCTCATCTGGTGCAGGTCCCGAAGCTGAAGCAGCAGCACTTCAGTGCTGCGTTCTGTGGTGTATAGCAGCGTTTTCATGAAAGCGAGATTTTCAGTGCTAAAATTTCTCCCGTGCTTTCCTGTCCCCACTCAGTTGCTTTATCTCCCTGTTATGCACAGCAGAAGTGAGTCATGCGTGTGAAACGGGGTTATTTTTTCTTCCTGTCAGCACATAGATCTTGTTGCTTTTTCGGTGAATCTGAGACAGCAGAACTCCAGCAGAGGTCTTGTAGGGAAGTGCCGTGCCTGCCTATTCTTACTTGGGAAAGTGACTTGATGCTGAAAACCACAAATGGGAGGGAATGCCCGGGCGTGTAGCTAAAATTGGAGTGGGCCTTGCATCTTCAAGCTGAAGAAAAGGCAATTACTTTTATTCATGCTGCGGGTTCTTGTTCTTAAATGTCTGATAGAGTCTCTCTAGAAAAGATAATGTACTAAAGAAACAGAAATGTGTTGGTGGTGTTTGTTCTGTGCTCAGTGGTGGATGGCTGATGAGAAACTGGAGACCGCATGAGCTAGAGGTTTAGCAACGGCCCTAAAAAGGCATAAAACTTTTTTACTGCTTCCTCTTCGGTATTTCTCCTTGAGCCGTAGAGATAAATGCAGTATTTACAAGCATGGTTATTGTGGTGATAACTTGCATCATCAAAGTTGACAGATAAAGTAAAAATGTCAAAAATGTATATTAATATGAACATTTTCTTCATTTCAGTGAAAATATCCTTCAGTGAAATGTAAGTGGTGGATTGTGTTAGAGGTGGGGCCCTCGATAGCACGTCCTTTCCTGCTGTTCTTCTGCCCCTCTCCACCATGAACACCCTGTGTTCCTGCCATGCTGGTGGCTGCTGCCCATCCTTCTGAGCAAAAGGAGAGGACCCAGCAGGCAGAAATGCTTTCCCCCATGCCACACTTGCACATAAATTCCATCCTCAGGAGGGGACTCTGTGATTTGTCTACGTATCAGTGGGGTCTGTATGCAGGAGGAGCGTGCATGTAGCCTGACAGCCACAGTCTGCAGGCTGTCGGTGGTGTCTGTGCAGGGCATGCAGCTGTGTGCAGGGCAGCAGAGCACTCAATGGGCTCCCAGCAGTGTTGGAGCTATGAGGCTGGGTGGCCGACTGGGAAGGCTGGGAGCCAGCAAAGTCATGGCACAGCCAAAGGGAGGTTTCCTTCCCTGAGGTTTGGCACAAAGACTGCTGGAGAGGAGCGAATTTCTGCAAGATGGTATTGTTACATAGGTTGGGAAGGCAAAAAGGAAAAAAAAAAAGAGAGAAAATTGCTTTCATGGCTGAGGGAAGAGATGCCTGGAAACTGAGCAAAGCTGAAATTGTTAGATCCCAAGGTAGTGTGAGAAGGAGAAAAAGAAAGCTCTGTGAAAACAGCGGGTTATCAGGTGGGTCTGAATGGTGGAATTCTGATGGTGAATTGCTGGTACAAAGGAAACAGTAGAAGTCTGGAGCACAGTATGAAGTGCATGACAGTGCGGAGGCAAGAAGGTTTCTTGTACACCAAAGCCGTGCTGCTGAATCATTCTCTCGCTTGCCTTATCAGTCATACATTTGACACCTTTTAGCTCCCTTTTCTGGAATGTTTTTGTGCTATGTGATTTTTTTGAGCTGGGGGCATTGGGAAAATGCGCAGCTGTCGAACTTCAGGCACCAGAAACTGTAGAAATTATTCTACAGAATAATGTAATTCTTTCTTACAGGCTTTATTTCATTGAATTCTCGTTTCCTTCTGTCACTAATTGACCCTAGCCATCGCTTGGCACCCTTTTTCTTTCTGATGCATTTGAAGAAACGATTTGTCACTAGATTTTGTGCCCATAATAAGTCATCATAAAACCTTTTTTGGCTTTTCATACTGCATTTTATAGTTAAACTCTGGACAACTTATGTTATTTTCTGTTGTCTTCATTTTGAAACCATTTCAAGTTTTTTGTAGGATCTCTTCTTATTTCTCATAATATTAATTGCCTTGCTCTGCAAGTGCAGTGGATGTTGCCTTTCTAGATCCTCTAGAAGTGAGGTGTGCAGCCTCTCCCGCTTATGATGGTGTTTCATCTTCTGTGCAGCAGTGAGAGCATTCCATGTATTGCAGTGAGATGGCGTTTCCACGAAGGTCTCGATCCTCACATTCTCTTTACCACTGAACTTTTGCTTCCAGAGCTTTTCTTCCGTTCTGGCTGGGTTTGTGCCTGTGTGCTCCTCCTCAGCGTTTGTTAAGGGGCTTTTGAGCTGCTGTGGGGTTTGGCACATGGCAGTCTGGCCAGCGGGCATCACCCAGCTCGGCTGCGCATGCCCTCCGTGGCAGAGCCCTCCTCTGCCCGCGGCGCTGTGTGGTTGCTGTGTTACCCTGCCCTGGTGCAGGGGTCCCTCCGTGAGATGGGGTCGTCCCCGTCGTGCAGCTGGGACCTTGCAGTTGTGTCCGGCTGTCCCGAAGGAGAGGCCCTTCTGTGAGGTGGGACGGACCTCATTCACGGCCTCTGTAACATCCCACGACAATCCCCATCTTTTCAGCTGCGTTGGGACTTTCAACCCAGCTGTGGGCAGCTTGGGAATCCTTTAATGCCGGGCTGCTGGACTGCAGTGTCCACAGTGGGCACTGCTGGTGGGCAGCACAGAGCCGGCACAGCCACACCGCCCTGCACTGCAGCTGCTCTGTTCTCTTTCAGCAGAGCTTTTTGGATGCTGGGGCTTATTTCTGTGCCAACTTTATCTGTAGGGTTTATCTTTTGCATTTTGCCTTAAGGAGCTGGTTTTTAATTTGTGGTGTTTTTGTATTTGAAAGTGTAAACCTTCCTTTTTTGTGAGTTACAACAATATATCTACGTCAGGTTTAGTAGTGCAGCTTAATAAAATTCTTGCACAATACTTTATCTTATCAGATATTTCTTTGATTGCAATTTTACCAGACTTTCTGGTCTGTAAGTGTTCCGCCCTAGGTGTCTGCATTCACCTGTAGGCATGTGCATGTAAATTTATGTTCATTTAAAAAAGCAGTTCATTTGCTTTTGAGAACAAGGATGATGGCAAGTGTGTGTGTATGTGTAATGCATAAAAGTAATGATAATAGCAACAGAAAGAAGCCCTTTGCTCCAAAGAGCTCGTTATTGCTGTTCTGCCACGGAAGTCTCAGCAGATGTGGGCAGTATTTAAGCTTTTGCAAAAATTCAATTTATGCGAAGTCCACAGGGGATTTCTTATCCTTACAGGGATTCTGAAGACTTTCTCACAGCCAGTGGGAGAAGTGGAGCTGGGAAGGGGACATTGCATTCTGTTAAGCTACAGTCAGTGGACTTCTGGCCAGTAGAGACAGTGACTGGATCAGCAGAAACTTAACAAACATGAAAGCACTTTATGCAATGTTTTTCTGTGCTATTGGCTTATCTCTGAAGTTGCAGAAGAAAAATCCATCAATTAATTGATAGAAAGAGAAAGAATTAGGTTTCATTCTGGTCTCAGCCAAACGGTGCATTGAGTTCAGCCTCCAGGAGAGGCCAGACAGGAGATCCCTTTATTGACAACTGTTGCTTCAGCTTCTAGTTTATGGTTAACATCTCTGTGTGACGTTTTATTTATTTGGCTTATGAACGCGATGGTTTAATTATACAGCAGTGATTTACATGCAAAGAAGCTGGCAAGAGAAAAATCTCCTCCTGCCCAGCGTTTCAAAAAATGTTTTCCCTGGCTCGAGAGACCGAGTCACTTCTAACCCATGAAGTATATTTCTTTCCTTCCCTCCGTGTGGCTTCTGTACTTAATATATGGAGGAAATGACGGCATGCCCACTCCTGCAAGTCTTTTCCAAGCAGGTGCTGTTCTGTCACATGGAGCCGTACTGCTCTGTGCGTGTAAAGGTTGGGGCCAGGCCTCGTCTGTGTCCTCCTTGCAGACATTATAGAGAATCTGGGGACGTAGACATTAATGTGCCTTCAATAAAAATGTGAAATAAACGGGTTTTCGCAGGAAGTTCGGTAAGTATTGAAGTGGAATTATTTGCAGCTTATGAAAAAGAAAAGTCCTTGAGAAGTTTTAATCGTCCGATCTACAAATGAAGGAGAAAGAAAGCAGCATTCCCTGTGCTGCGGATGTAACGGCACGTGGTCACTGCCCGCCACCTAACAGCAGTTCTTCAATCTTTCCTAGCCCGCAAGACGAAGAAGAAGATAAAAGGCATCCAGCAGGCCACCGCCACGGGCTCCAGGGACGCCGCCGAAGCTGCTGGAAATAAGAGCGTGGTTCCCGCGTCGCTGCCGCAGCTCACACCCACACTGGTGTCGCTGCTGGAGGTGATCGAGCCCGAGGTGCTGTACTCCGGCTACGACAGCACGCTGCCCGACTCCAGCTGGCGCATCCTGTCAACCCTCAACATGCTGGGAGGACGGCAAGTGGTTGCTGCGGTCAAGTGGGCGAAGGCAATACCAGGTGTGTGTTAATTACAGAGCGCAGTCGGGGGGGGGCTTGAACGTCTGTCTTCACGTGTGATGTTCTACAGAGCCCTCAGAGGGAAGGACTGGCCGTACTTGAGCTACACCAGAGCTCGGACTTTTGCAGTGGAGCCTTCCCTTTTATAGGCTGGTGCTGTGGTGCTGGCTTATCTGGGTCTGCATTCAGGTGGTTCTGTTCTCTGACCTGTCACCATGTCTGTAGTTTCTTGTTGACTGGGAATAGGCCTTTGAGCGTTCCAGTTCCGGACAGGAACTCAAGATGTTCATTTTCTCTCAAGCCTTGTAGCTTTGTGATTACATGGGGAATTTGGAAATGTTCTTGCTGTTTGGCTCCTGCCTGAAAACACTTAGCAGTTGCCTTACAGAAGACAGATGCAAAATCACATCCGTGGCCATAACGGGTAGCATCCCATGGTGTCTCTGGGAGGGGCTGGGGCCACAGGAGAGCTGAAGATCTGTTTCTATCTGACAGAACAAAGACAGATGTTTTTCTCCCCTTCTCTTCTAGTCTCTGCCATTACCTGCTTCCAAAACCAAATTGGCAACAGCACTTCCACAGTGTTTTGCATCACTGTGGGACAGCCTGCAGGCTGCTGGCATTCTGAAATAAAACTGACACCACTGGGTTCTGTGTTTGCAATCTCCTCTGGACGGTTCCCCTAAAGAGATGAATCCTTCAGGTTATCACATGCCCTCTGTGAACATAGCGAGCTTCTGCCTAATAATTTTATTAATAGGGGCTATTATTATTATCCTATTTTTACACTTGTTTAAAATTACCCAGACGGTTCTTTGTGGGCATATTTAATTTCTATGTACTTCTGCTAAGTGTCCCCCAGCCCACAGCCTGGCAGTGCAGAATCCTTGAGCTGAGGTTGTCAAGGCAGCCTTTTCCTGAGGAGTTTTTGAGCAAAACTTTTGAGATTTGACCCAGTAAGTTAGAAGTAAGCTTGAAATAATTTGCTTCTGTTTTAGCAGCAGTGAATAGTGGTTAATAGTGATCACTGCAGTCTCCAAAGCCAAAAGCCTGCTTTGAAGCTGTTCAGACCTACCGAGTTTTGCTATTTAATAATCTACTGACTGCTATCCATTTAAACGTCTTCAGGAAGCAGTGCTGTAATGAGCTCTTTAGATGCCAAATGCCTAATGAAATTAAATAAAATCAACTTGAATTCAGACTTTAATAATGATTCATGGTGACACAATGTTTTCTTGTTAGATGTAGGCATGATCCGCTGGAAACTAGCATTGCAAATGAAAAGCTGCCTGCATCTTAAGCCTGTTTAAGGGACCAATTTTCAGATTTTACACATTTCCTCATTATCTTAATTGGCTCTATTCATTCTCCATATTCTTACAAGATTAACTGCCGTCGTTAACTGTTTCTAATGCGATGCATATTTTGTAAGTTCTGTATATGATTCTTGAATAAGATCAAAATTTGAAGTTAGATCATTTATCATCTTGTGGACTGCCTGCAAACATTAGGAAAAACACTGTTAATTACAGAAGGTTGCCAGATGAATGGTAGTGAATATTAGATATTTTTGTCTTGTGATCTATGTTTGACTGATTACCTTCTCCACATAATCCCACACACATATTCTGATGTATTTTTTTTTTAAGTATGACCTTCTGCTTCCTGTCATACCCATCAGCAGATCCATCTGGCACTGTCATAGAATTACAGAGCCACCAAGGTTGGAAATGACCCCCGAGGTCACCCAGTCCAACCATCCACCAAACTTTTCCCACTAAATTCCCTCCCTCAGTACAACATCTGAACCTTTCTTGTACACCTGCAGGGAAATCTCCATCCAGAAAGCAGCTCGCAGCAGTTGCAGAAGGCCAGCACTGTTGGTGGCTGTGCATTTCTGTAGGGAGGTGCTGAGAGCTTTGTACGTGTAGATGTCAGTGTCATCTATTGGATGAGGTTGAAGCGTTACTTTCTGTTAGCCCTGTGGCCTGTGTCTCCCCATCACTTTCTGCCAGGCCCTGGCCTGTTTCTCCACGTCAGGGCAGTCACCCCACGCCGTGCTGAGCGCTCTGCTCGGACCTCTCCTGGTTCAGCTCAGTTCTCCTGCCCAGAAGCTGTAATCTGAGTGCTACGGTTGATTTTTGCATGTGCAAATATTTGAACGTAACCTTGGTAGTTGGAAAATGGTGTTTGCACCCTTTTAAAGTACTTCTATTTCCAACAAGACTTTCACATTTAAAAAAAAAAAAAAAAAAAAAACCTTCATTTTTGTTCTATATTTTTTTTCTGCTACCAAGAATGCAGTCTGAAATACAGAAACGCTTGACTGAGTCAACTAGCAGCAAGCAATCTTGTTGCAGGTACTGTCATTGCAATTACAGAAATCATTACGAAATTCACTTTAAAAAGCAGTAACCTGCATTGGTGGTACAGAGGTTGTACTGACGGGAAGCACAATCTGTTTCAGAGTTCTTTGTGTTCTGGGTTTGTTTTTGAGGTTTCTTTTGCTACCAGCGCAGCCACACCTCACTGCTTTTATTTTTGTGTTGTTAAGGTTTCAGAAACCTACACCTGGATGACCAAATGACCCTTCTGCAGTACTCCTGGATGTTCCTAATGGCTTTTGCTTTAGGATGGAGATCATACAAACAATCAAATGGAAATCTCCTTTGCTTTGCACCAGATCTGATTATTAACGAGTAAGTAAGACTGCATCCTTGTCCAGTTTTACCAGGGGGATGCAAACTGCTGCAGCCCATCCATTCTGCACGGGAGAGGCGAGTAGCTGGGCAGCAAAGGTGCAAGGATCCCAGGTCCCTTTGTTGTTTGCAGCATTGTTTTCCTTCCAGCAGATCGCTTAGTTTTCACCCAGCTTTACTGAAAGAGAAATGTTGTCAGTACTGAGTGCATTTCCATGAAGTTTTGTGGGAGGTGCTCGTACGAAATGTCCCCTGCTGCCACCCTTCCTGCTCCACTCATTGCAGTCATTCATCTCACCAGAGCCGAAGAAGCTGAAGTTAGAAGTAATTGTGAGATGGAGGGAGAAGCGTAGCAAACTGCACAGCGTGCTGTGTGTGGTGTGTAAGAGTAATCTTATCTGTTTAGCTAATTCTTGGTTGGTTAAATGTTTGTATCTGAGCACGGGTAAAATCTGGCTTAAAAGGTCGCAAATGGAAAAACTTATGTTGTATCTTTGTAGTTGTTGAACTTTGTTACCAGTTTTCAAGAGAAAAATGAATTTGCTTCAGTATCGGGGCATCTTTCTTATCCTGAGCATCATCTTCCTTGTGTTTTTCAAAGTGGTGCTGTGTGGTCACCTGTGCTGTGGAGGACTGAAGGAGGGAACTCTGGCAGAGAAGGAGATGGGCAGCGAGCTTGGCTCGAGCTGTGGGGGTCAGAAGTGGCTGCTGCAGATGTGAGCACAGGGCAGTACTTGCCAGGTGCTGCTCTGCCGGTGTGGCTGCAGGTCGGTCCTGCTGTGCCTCTCGGGCTGGGGAGCCCAGGCTGCCTGTCAGCTCTCCTGGGATGCAGTGTGCTGCTGGCCGTGCTCGGCTTCCTTGCTGTGCTGCTCTCCTTGGAGGCTGCTCAGCGATTGCCCTGTGGGGCAGGGTTAGCAGAGCTCCAGGGCACCGCCGCCGCCTCCTGCAGGGTGGTGATGCTAGCAGTGCTGCTGTGTGCTGAGATGTGTTGTCTGTGCTTTGAATGAGTTGCTGAAAATGTGTTATGGGTGTCAATGTTGGAGGTTGCTGGCCTGAGCCATGCGAGATGTGGCTCAGCCACATGTGATGTGATCACTGCGGGTTTGCCATTCTTTTCCTTCATCAAGCGCAACAGTCCATGCAGGACTGTGCAGGGCCGTCCACAGAGCCTAACCAGCACCGGGATTGCACTGACAAGGGTCTGAAAAGCAACGTGAGTGATGAGTTCTGATCATGTCCCGGTTCCACTCTGCAGGCAGTGCTGCCCCTTGGGCACATTTTGAGATAGTGTTCAATATTTTTGTTCCTATCGCACTTCAGTTCCTGTTCTCCCCAGTCTGTTCTCTGCTTAAAAACCAGTGGTGGTTACATTTCCTATGGGACTGGCCATTTACATTTCATAATACTTCTTTTGTTGCCACTTATTTGTCTGAATATTCTTCCCTGTAAATATATATTCAGACCTTCACAAGCTTTAATAATTTCTTCATAGTAATTATTTCTTTTTTTTGGGGGGGCGGGGGGTGCAGATGTGTGCCCCATCTGTGTACTTCTGTTTAAATTATTAGAATATGTCCGTGAAATAAAGAAGTTTCCCCATGGTGGAGTTAATTGAAGTAACTGACGTCACTAATAAACACGATAGCATCTCAACTGCTACATTCAGATATCTCCTGCAGTTCTATCAATGGGTCAAAACCACAGAGCTTGGCAGTGAAGCATGTGCCTGTACTCTAAAAAAGCAAGGGTAATCCTCCTCTACTCAGTATTAATTCTCCAAAGTATTCTGGTTAGCAGTTCCGGTATGTGGACTGTTCATTAAGATGACATTTGTTTTCAATAACATTTGTTGACTAAGAGAACTGCAGTTCCTCCTGACTCCTCCTCTGGTGTGCTTCAGGTTCTCTATAAAACTCTGGTCGTAACTTTTTATGTACTATTCAGCAATAAAACACAGCCACCTTTGAGTTAGCTCTGGCAGCTCCTGAATGGTGCACGAAGACGGTGTGAGCTGCCAGACGTGTGCAGAGCACAGTGCCATGGGCCACAGCAGAGATGTTGTGAGCATCAAGAGAATGGCACACAGACCAGGTCTGCTCGTGCTCTGCTTGATACTGGATTCTACAGGTAGCGTTGTGGCACATGACATTCCCAAAAAGGCACTCTGGAGTTCATTTGGTGATTTTCCTGAGATGCGTTGCTTTGTATTTTTCACCCAGCCTCTCCTTTGCTGCTCCCCAACCTCAGGGTCTGGATTAAGATAGCATTTATTATGTTACGGTGATTTATCGTATATTTAGCCTGCTTCCTGTGTTATGTACATGTACAGCATACATATATGTAAAAAGTTTTTCTACAGGTTGTAGAAAAGCTTGGCAGGTCGATGCTTAGGCTTTAGACCATCACCTGGTTGTTGGAGAGATGTGAGTGCTGCTGGTTCAGTGGTGCTGTGTCACCACAGCACAGTTCTGACCGCCCTCAGTCTGCTCACAGCCTCTGTTTGTGTCACAGTGCTCATGGAGTTACAGGGAGGGATGCTCAGTTGTGCTCACTGCATGCACAGATGGCTTTCGATTGCAACCTGGCTTTAGAATGAAGGTTTTGAAAGTTGAGTCTTAGGATTCGGGCTGTGTTTGCATGCACAGCATCCTAGCTTTTGCTGTTCTTAGGTTTGAGCTCGTCTCCTTTGTCTGTACAGAGCTGACTACCACAGCTCTGCACTGGTGCTGCTGGGACAGAAAGCAAGGAGCTGTTAATTACAGTTTTACAAGCAGTGTTTTATCAGTGCTCTTATTCCCAGAATTTTTTTGGACATTCTTTTGTAACCAGTTCTGTGCAATCCGTATTGTCTGATTTTCGGAAGGCAGCTTTTTGTTTACTGGTTCTATGGACTTGGCAGAGCTGAATGACTCAGCGGTGCTTTTATCGACACGTGTGTGTGTGTACATTAAGTGCAACTTGCATGGGCTGCCATTTGTGCTACTTTTGAGCCTGATGCCCAACTTGTGCTCTGCTTTCTGTTTACCAAAGCAAAAGAAGATGAGATATTACAGAACAGAGATGTGTTTTGAATCAGGCTAGATACACAGTCACTAACGCAGAATCGCTTCAGAGATGATAAACTGCCATTAGTCAGCTGCTTAAATCTCAGCTTCTGTGAAGGCCAGGAGTTGCACAAACGTTGCACTGTTGCACTGTGTGGCCCATTGCACTCTGCCTGGCCAGCTGCCTGCTCTGCTCTCATCAGCTCTTCCTGGGCTTGGGGTACCAGCAGCACTCAGACCTTCCTTTTCCCTGGCTGCCCAGGGCCGGTCCCCATTGGGGCTTTGCTTGAAGGCCCTGCAGTCGGTCGGGTTCTGCTCCTGCTCCCTTGCTGGCAGCTGAGCTGGTTGCATTCCCGCAGGGCGGTGAGGGGCAGAGCTGGGCCCTCTTCCCAGCCCTCCTCCCCACCGCCCCCAGCGGAGTGCAGCTCTCTGTTGGCTCAGCTCTGAGCAGAGGGGCCATGCTGCACTTTCAGTTTTTGGGGACCGCCATTGCCACAGCTTTGGTAGTAACAAAAATCTGCATGGAGATAGAATGGATTCCCAGACTCGGGGTGATGACTGCATCTACAGCAGATGGAAACAAATGACAGGCCAACCCATTTCATAACATTTCTTTCAACCTTCTGCCCAGAAACGGTCATACTTCTACACGAGGAAAACTGCTGAGCCCTGTTGTGGAATGTGTTTGAATTACCCAATTGCAATGCTGTTCGATGCCCTTTGACACAACCCAGAGGGCTCAGCAGAAGTTCTTCCAAGCAGCCGGACGACGCACACCGGCAGCCCCGTGTCAGGTGCTCTGAGCAGCTGCCTGCAGCACGGCGCCCTGCGCAGACCCAGAGCGTGCGAGGTGAGCGCGTGGCTTCAGCTGCCAGCAGGGCGCCCTGCTGGATGCAGGGCTGTGCAGCTCCAGGAGCCCCGGCTGCCCGGTGCTGCAGCCAGCAGCCCTGCCGTGCCTCAGAAGGAACGGGTCGTGTTTGCATTTGGAAAAGGTGGGGTTTCTGGACTTGTGCCTTACGTGGTTTTTAGCAGATCTAAATAGCTTGTATTTCTTGCTCTTATTCTTAGGATTTTCTCTTATTCTTAGGATGTTGCACCTCAAGGAAGGTGCGTGTGCTTTGTGTTGGCTGAGGGTTTCCTACGCTGCTTCCCAGCAGCGCAGTTACGTTTCTGTTGCAGGCATTGGCTCTCGGAGGGCAGAAAAAGGAGAACTGAAAGATGCTAGCAGCTCCAGAGGAAATGGAGCCATTTCATAACCAAATCCTTCTCTTATACTGGGATTCAATTTCATTTCTTTGTTGAGATTCTAATATTGAATAGAAAATATTTTGGAAGAGGTAACACTGAGTTTCAGTGTTATTCTCCTGATGCTGCAGCTTGGGGCCTCTGCTTCCATGTGGTGACTGAGGCACTCACCCTAGGGGAGTTCCCTGGAGAAAACTGAAGGCTCTTTTGCTGTAAGCCAAGTGCTGACATCTGCCACCCCACTGGTCCTGAGGGAAGGATGGAGAAACTTAGATTTGGAACTTGAAGACGCCATTTAACTAATTGTTGTCTTTACTTCTCAGGCAGAGAATGAATCTACCCTGTATGTATGAACAATGCAAACATATGCTGATGGTTGCCCGCGAGCTGTCACGGCTTCAAGTCTCATATGAAGAGTATCTCTGCATGAAAACATTGCTTCTCCTCTCTACAAGTAGGTAAACATTTAAACACCTGTGTGAGCAATGCGAGCTTACCTTGTCAGTGCCATGCAGTGTGTGCAGCGTGGCACGGTGTGAGGTGTCTGATCACAAATAGCTCTCGCAGTGCTCAGTTTGCTGCAGGGGGTTACTGAGGAGTTCTGCTCAGCAGGTATGGGATGTTTGTGCCATGGCAGTGCAGACTGCATGCAGACCTTTGCAGCTCCAGCAGAGCCCTAAGCCACAGACTGGCTGAGCAGGTAGCACCCAAAGAAGTGGCCGAAGCTCTGATTTAAGCCCCAAAAATATTTAAAAAAAAAATCAGAGAGCAAGGTCTGATCCAGTGAAATTATTTCCTCCCAAAAAAAGTGACTGAACTCTCCTAGAAGTTATTGCCAAATGCAACTGCTGCTTTCTGCATTTGCATCTAGAAAATATGTAGTGGATTTATGATAGATATTGTAAGGTAGATGTACATAATATACTACATGGTGGCTTTATGTGTCTTTCAATGAGATGAACTGTAATTGGAACAACTCACAACTTAATCATGTTGTTTTCTGTATTGCATGGAAGGTCAAAGGATAGCACCAAAACAGTCCTTTTCTGGACTACATACAACAATGCTAACATGAAGCATTGTGTAAATGATCTTACAGTGTAATTTCTGCTCTGTATTATTATTCCTTTCTACCTAATGATTTTTTTTCTCTCTTCACACACTGTTGTTGTAACTCCCTGACAAGCTTCAGTTTTAACCCTGGCTCAGTGCAGTGCAGACTGAGAATAGCTGGGGAGATGCAGCAGGGATGTGCATGTGCACAAGGGGAGGTGTGAGCAGTGGAGCCAGCCCTGTTCTCAGCCCTTCAGGGGTCCCCAGGCCAGCCGTCCCATGTGCAGAGGTGCTCCTGAAAAGAAATCATCACTGCCACAGCTCCACACTGCTGCGGTTTGTAAAGGCTGCAAACTTTGCTCAAATGGGAGATTTGAATCTAAAACCTCTCCTGAAAATTCCTGACGTGTTTTGGGCGGAAGGGAGGCCAACTTTCCTACAGGATCTGGAAATTTCCTGATGGGAATTTCCATGCCAGGAGTGGGAAGGAGACGGCCTCAGTAGAATTGAGCCCATTCACGAGCGATGTGTGACAGGCGCGAGCCCGCAGAATCCTTCTTTGTTGTCCCTCCCTGAAAGACAATACGCTCTCACATTGCTCTTGGAGCCCGCCTGCTGTGTAAGTGGTACGCTGTGGCACTTCTGAGAGCTGAAGGGCTGAAATGTGCATCGTTTTGTTCATCTGTGGCTTCACAACTAAAATTCCCGGGGTCTTTTCTAAGAGAAGAGGAAGAAGAGGGGGGAAGCGGAGCCCCGGGGGCCAGAGCACCCATTGCACATGGCTGTCACACACAGACCTTCTCCTTACACACGATGGGCACGGCTGAAGGCAGCATCACAATGCCATCTCCTGCATGGGCCAGGCAGGTTGTGGCACCGCAGGTCCCCGAAGGGGCTGTGTCGTGGGGGCCTCCTTTCACCCTGACCTCTTTTCCTTTCTGTCTGCTCTGTCTGTGCTCCATCCCCCTGTAGTTCTTGTCATTTGCTTCAGTGCAGGGACAAAAGGCTGCACCTCATGGGTAGGGCCACGTGTGTCCATCTGCCTGCTGCACCACACTTGGCCTTGGGAAGGGCCTTCCTACCAGCTGCGCGGGGTGCCGGCCCCCCTCCATCCTCATCCCTCCTTGTTCCTGGGTTGCCTGTAGTTGTGTGTGATCTTCTCTTGGCCAGCAGCCCTGTGCTGTTTGTTGAACCAGTTGTCTGTCTCAGCTTCCTCTCCTCTTCCTTCTCTCTCAGCTCTCGTTTCTTTTCGTAATTGAAAATTGTGTCCTTCTAGTTGTTTTTGCATAACTCATGTAAGATTGCCCAACTAATAGCACAGTTCATAGATGTATAACCTAGATGTGTGTCGCGTTCCAGTTCCTAAGGAAGGCCTGAAGAGCCAGACTTTGTTTGAAGAAATTCGCATGACATACATAAAAGAGCTGGGAAAGGCCATCGTGAAAAGAGAAGGGAACTCGAGCCAGAACTGGCAGCGGTTCTATCAGCTGACGAAGCTGTTGGACTCTATGCACGATGTAAGTCCTGAAGGGCGCCGGGATGTGGCTGTGCACTGCTCTGCCCTCAGCTTCACTTTGGGGCCGAGTGCTGTGGGCTGGGAGGTGGTATGCGATGTCTATGAAGGACCAGGTGGAAGAGATGAGCTTTCTGCTCTCAGAGCACCTTTCCAATGGACTCTGTGGCAGTTAGATCTTTAATTAAAGTGTATTTCAGTCTCTGGTTTTTAAAAATGATGTTGCTTTGAAACTGAGGAACTGTGACCCCGAATGCGCGGAGCTGCCAGGCTGTGGCTCAGCCGGACAGGGCGAGGGAGATTGCAAGACCTCAGTTTTCCTTTCCCTGTTAGTTTACCTGGAAAGATTTTATTTAGATTATCCGTGTTCCTGTGATTTGTATGCTAAGGTTAGAGCTGATGCGGCGTGCCTTCGGTGTCTGTGGAGAGCTGGCACCATCTCCTCCTAGATCTGCGTGAGGATGGCGTGGATGGGAGCGGCGGTGAGGCTGAGCTGAGGGCGGCAGATCAGGGCTCAGCAGGGACGGCTGGGGAAGCGGCGCTGCTGTGAGCAGCGGTGTGAAAGTTTCTCTCTGCTTTGTCCCCCGTAGGTGGTTGAAAATCTTCTGAGCTTTTGCTTCCAGACGTTTTTGGATAAATCCATGAGTATTGAGTTCCCAGAAATGTTGGCAGAAATCATCAGCAACCAGATACCAAAATACTCAAATGGAAATATAAAGAAGCTCTTATTTCATCAGAAGTGACTGCCTTAATACAAAAGGGTTGCCTTAAGAAAACGTCAAATGATAGCTTTTTTCTTTTTTTCTTTTCTTTTTCTTTTTTTTTTTTTTTTTTTTTTGTAAAGACAGAACCTACCAGACTTGTTCATTTTGTCCTTGCAGCGGTGTTTCTTTTGTAATTATGCACTACATGTGGTTTACAGAGGGCCAAGATTTAGGCGATAGAAGCAGCGGATTCCTCACATTTAATACGTGACTGGGGAGAAAGGAAAGAAGAATACATTTTGCTTGCCAGAAATTGTACTTCTCCCCCTGTGCGACACCAATGGATGCATCAAAACCACCGGTGACAAGATCTGAGGCTGTGTTACGAACATTCTGCTAATTAATTTCTGCAGTCGGCTGGAAACAATTTTATTTTTTAGTAATGCGTTTTGGATTTTCTTTTTTTTTTTTTAAAGTTAAGGTAGCATTTTGGTTTATGCATGTAACCTGAAGAAAGTTTACAAGTGTATATCAGAAAAGGGAAGTTGTGCCTTTTATAGCTATTACTGTCTGGTTTTAGCAATTTCCTTTCACTTTATATACCGTGAACGAGGCTTGTTCATTTTTTCTTACATAATTTTTTTGTAATACTTCAAGATGCCTATTGTACAGCTGGTTTTTTAAGGCGGGGCAGCTCGTAGCTTTCCTAAATGACCTCTAGATGTTCATCCTTGAGTATATTCGTGTGGAAATGGGTTGGGTTTTCTAACCTGATAGCTTTCAACTGTCAAGGCGACCGTAAAATTTGGCATTTTTTAAGGGCCAGGGTGGGTGGGAGAACACTCTCAAATCTAATTTCAGTAGATGTGAAATGAAACAAATACTTTTGGTATAATGTACAAAAGCGTTGGATATGCAGATTCATAGAGAATTAACACAGTCCTAACTGGATGTAAACGAGCAGGTTATTTTATATATTATAAAAACAAAAAGCCTGATTTTTGCATATAATGCAACAGCCATAACTACGAGAGTCATGGGCTGCGTTGATGCCAAGAAGATCAGTCCTGACCGCCCATCAGGAAACCTTCAGGAAAATATGCATAGCTTCAGAAAAGTTTACTTCTGCGCGGAGGAACTCGCGCCTTCCGCGCCCCGAACCCGGCGCCGCGCAGGACCCGCGGGAGGGCGGCCGTGGGGCAGAGCAGAGGCCGCCCCCCTCTGCGCCCGGCGCTTCGGCTCCGCTCTTCTGTGCCGCTGGGCTCCGGGTGCGCGGCCCCGGGGCGACGTCGGAGATGTTGGCTCCGCTGGCGCCGCCCGCACCTCGCACGCAGCGGCCGCAACCCGCGCGGCGCCGCCGCCTCTCGCCTCTGCTTCGCCCTTCTCCTCCGGAGCAGGAGAGCTCCGCTGCCGGCTTCGTGGTCCCGCAGGTGTAACGTCCGCCCTTGTCTGTGTACGGCTGCGTCCCTTCCTATCGAGTGACTAGCGTGCCATAAATCTGCCATAGGTCTCGTGAATCTCTCCTCGTTGCCATGGGTAGCTGTATTTTGAGACGTTTAGAAGCTGTAGTAGCCTTTTCTACCTGCACCTTAACGATTTTCTGTGTCTCGAAATTGAAATATTTACCAAGCCACTCTAAAATTTGATTTGTACTGAAAGTGGCCCGATTATTTGTGTAATAGCGACGAGAAAAATCATCTGGGAAGATACAAAACCTAATATATTTTTGTATTTAGTTATAGTTTCCAGTATGTATAATCGGTATATTCGCTGATCTGAGAAAAGAAGGGAAGGGCTACTGCAGCTTTAAAAGCAATTTATTAATGACTGTAAAATAGCTTGTATAGTGTATAATAAGGATGATTTTTAGATGACAGATTGCTTTATCATGATACATGTAATTATATTTTTTGTAGGGGTCACGGATGTGCTGAATGGTAACCCGTGCCAGCCGTGCTTTGTCTGGAGGTAGTGCTGAAGGCACTGACATTCAGCATCCAAAGAAGTACTCTGTCAGAAAGAAACAAAAAACAAACCTGTGTTCAGTGGCTGTTTCTAAGGTTGAATTTGCATTTCTCCAATCACTGTGTCAGAGCGCAAGTCGGACCTTGGGCGGAACGCTCCCCTCCGCGCCTCCGCCTGAGCGGATGGGCTCCCTTCGTAGACAGCCGCGCGCCGCAGCGAGAGCAGCTGGAAACATTGGGCAATAATATGCATCAGGTACCAGCAATATGTAAATACAGAGCGTAGGTTGTTCACAACACACCGGTTCCTTTCTGCCGTTCAGCAGAAGCTCGTTTCCGAGCGAGATAGGAAACTCGATTTTTCATCCTTTCTTAAACCTTTTTGAATGTTATACCTATGAAAGAAAAAGATGCTATATTAAGTACTTTGGAGTAAAATATCATCTTTAATAAAAAACGAAAGTTCTTCTCCTCTCTTTGAATGATCTGTACAAAACACGTACATTTTAGGGCAGTTTTAGGTGCCCTTCAGCGCTTGGGGGCGGCTCTGGGCCCCTCAGCCCTGGGGATGCGCGCTGCGGCGCTGCGCCCTGGCAGAGCTCTGCTGGAGATCCACCATTGCAGCTCTGTGTGCAGGCGGTGCGTGCAGCCCTTCTGCAGAGTTGGCGTGCGCAGACGCTGCTTCTGCTCTCTTTCGGTCTGGTTTTTTTGGCCTTTGCTTTTTTTTCTTTTTTCTTCTTTCTCTGGTTTATTTCCCCCTCCTCCCCCCAGCAGAGAATTAACTACAGTGAATGTGAACAAATCGTTGTCGTCGCGAGAGAGGCGGTAACTGAGGAGAGGAAAGGAGAGGAGAGGCTGCCGCCCCTCTGCTCCGTGTGCCTGCAGGTTCCTTTCGGTTCGCGAGCGTAAGGAAAGAAGGCAGCTGTGGTGTTCGGAGGTGGCATCCACGCTGCACGCGCTGTTGAGTTTGAAGCGTCACGGTTACAAACGCGTCGTGTTTGGTGAGCAGTGAGGAGTACGTGTGGTGTGTGTCATAGTCCTGTAGCACTGGGCAGTATCTGCACTCTGGGTAAAGCAGGGAGAATGGCGACTTGTGTCCCTTCAGTGCCTTATCACGGTGCGTGCGTCCGCGCGGGGCGTCGCGCTCGGGGCTGCACGGGGCGACAGGAGCGGCCTTAAGGAGGGCAGCGGGGATGCGCCGGGGGCCGGTGCCGTGTTGGGCTTCAAAACGCCCTTGCCCTTTTTGCTACGACAGGTCAGGAATAGGAGGAAGTGCCTGGGTGAGGGTCAGCCCGCTCCCGCTCCGTAGCGCTGGGCGAGGGCTGGGGCCGCGGCTCTGGGGGAGCGCCGTCGGCGTGCTGCGGCCCGGCACCGCGCAGACCCTGCGGCTGCTTTCGGTGTCACATAGGAACCAAACGCTGGGGGAAGGAGCGGAGCCGCTCCCGAGGATGGGAGGCGTGGGTGCTGGGGAGGCTGAGCGCGAAACACCCCGCCTCCACCAAGCGCGGGACAGCTGCGTCGGCCGTGTGTCAGTACTCTATTTTGTATATTCAAAGAAAGATATATAACGGGGACAAATCCTATATCGTACCGGTGTATGGCATTATTACAAAAAAAAAAAAAAATCATTATTTTTATCACAGTAATTTTAAACAGCATAAAAAAATAAAATTAAACCAGTGACTCCTGTTTAAAAATGAAAGTTGTAGTTTTTTATTCATGCTGAATAATTCTGTAGTAACAAGTCTGTAGTTTTCACCGACTCAGTGAAATGTTGGACTGTAAAAGCTTGTGTGGAATTGTTGAGCATTTATTTTTTCATTTAAATTTGCTGTTCTGGTAATACAAAGCCACACATCTGTACAGAAGTTGCAGTAAATGTGAGCCATTTACAGCAATGCCGAGTAATGGACAGAAACCATACAATAAAATTCTGCTTTTTTCATTAAATGGCTCCAAAATGCCTCTGTGGAATTGTCGCCGTGTTCCTGGGTGGGTTCCCTCACGTTGTCACTGCGCTCCTCACACGCACACAGTATTTATAGGAAAGCTGATTGCTGCTGCAGTTCAGTTCCCAAGTGAGAGAATTTCTGCTAATTGCGTTCGGAGGAGCGTTTTAATTGGAAATCATGGCTTGCATTTTCCAGTCCTCGCCACTGAGGTTCTAACTCCCATTTTCGGGTTGGGAGCCCCAGTCGAAGCGCTCTGTGCCCCCGGGGCTGTGGGATGGGGCTGTGTCACCGCTGCTGCAGCTGTCAGTGCAGCACTCCGTCCCGCCGTCGCTCGGCGGAGCTGCGGGTGTGCTGCTCTCAGCACGGCCCCTCCTTTGCCCCATTGAATAGCAGTGTAAGGACAGCCGTGTAATAAAATCGGCTTTAATTGCAGCATAAAATGCCAGCTTCCCAGCAGGGCACAGTCGATGGGGATTGTTTGCCATCAGAACAAAGAGTTACATAAATTTGGCTTTGGTTCTTCCCATGCTTCACGTCTGTAGGCCGGGGTTGGAGGCAACACGAGAGCGGGATTGACGGCAACGGCATTAATTTGTGTGACGGTGGTGAAAAGACCCTTTAAGGGACACGTCGGACCCTAGGTGAAATAACTGCCTCCTGCCCACAGCACTGCAGCACGGCCTGCACTGCACTGCTTGGCAGAGCATGGCGGTCACCGGAGGTCCCTGAGTGCCACCGGAGGTCCCCGAGTGCCCCCTGTGTCGCACTGCGCTGCTCAGCTCCTCACCCAGAGGTGTCAGGATGGCTCCCAGCAGCGTGGGGCCGGGCGCGGTGCCACACTCATTGGGCATCCATCTCCATCTTCCAGGAAACCCAGATGGAACCCAGCGTGAGCCTGAGATCTGTGATGGCCTTGCTTTGTTTTGTACACGCTATCCCCATAAAACGACAGAATTTGAGAGCGGTTTGGACAAGATGCCATTAAATGCTGTTTTTATAGCGCTGACATTTGGGTGTCCCAGCCCTCAGCCCCCGGGGCGTCGCCACCACTGGGCAGCGGCTCCTCCAGAACACATCTCAGAGCGAACCCAGGAGTGATGGGGATGTCCAGAGCACAGCCGAGTGGGAACCCCAGCACAAGGCATGGAGATGCTCAGAGCTCCGGCTACAGGAAGGAACCTGCAGTCAGCAGGACCTGCGGAGGTCCATTCTCCTTCCGCTGCGCCGCCGGCTGTGGCACAGATCCACATTGTAATTAAGGATATTCCCTGAGGTCACCGCAGGGAGCTTTAAGTTTAAAAAATAACAAGTAAGTGGAACCCTTCTAATTATAGGCTCTGTTGGTTCAAGATTAAACCGCATGAATAGGGCGAGGAGAAACTGCTGACGCGGCATTTAACGCGGCCGCTAATTGCATCGCTAATGTGACGGGATGGGGCGATGCTTCCTGCGGGAGGGGCTTGGCTCCGCAGAAGTGCCCGTTGTGCCCGGCGAGGCGGAGGAGGGGAGGCTGAGCTGCCACGGCCCAGAGACAGACCCCGATCCCTGGGGCACCACGGGGCTGAGCTCTGGAGCGGCACGAGGTGTATTTGCACTTATCCATGCCGCCGCTGGATGTGCTGCTGCTCAGGGACGTGTTTGTATCTCACACATTAGCAGAGGAGCACATGTGTGCTCCTAAGCCCCACGCAGCGCTCCTGTGGCCGCACACCTGCACAGCCCACCCCTCCAACACACAGCGGAGGTGAACCGGGAGGAGCAGGGTGTGCCGAGGGGACCGGGAGCTCTGCAAGGATCACATTGGTCCAATAAGCCATTAAGGAGCACTATCTGCCAAAACAATATGCCAGTAGTTTGACCAATATGTGTCCCTTGCCAGAAGTACAATGGTTTTGCCGCTTATCCTTTCCATGGCCTAATTCATGCTGCTCTACAAACACTGCTTTTCCCATCCCGTGGCCACCGCTCGCTTTTTGTGCAGCCGTGGCAGGGGGAAAGTGCGCTCTGTGGGCAGACTTCAGGGCCCTCCACGAGTGCTCAGAGCACTGTGAAGGGCTGGGCCCTCCCTGGTACCCACAGCTCTTCCCCCTTCCTGAGTGCGTCACCGAGTTTTAGAGCCCAGGTGCTATTTTCTGGGCATCTTTGTCTGAGGTTTAGGAGCAGAACTGCCTTCATTAGCAGAGGGAGCGTTCATAATGGGAGATAGCAGGTGCTGCCTGGTGAGCTGCCAGCAGCTGTGCTGTATTACCACTGCTCTGTGGCATGTCTGGGGGTCCCAGCTCCACACACACAACAGAGCTGAAACACCTGTTTTTTAGGGGAAAAAAAACCCAAACAAAACCTAAATATTTCTAACTTAAAAAATCAAATTAGCCCAAATGTACCAAGTATAATTGCTTTGAGGTTTCTGGTTCATTAGAATAATTAAAATACCGTTCATTTTCTAAGCAGAAGCTGTCCCTTCAGCACAGGTGACGCTCCTCTGTTAATTTGCCTTAAACCAACCCAGCTCAGGGGTTACAACACCAGGTGTGCTCAGCTCTGCCATCAGACCCCCCTGCCCCCTCCTCCAGCACTGATGTCGCAGCTGTGGAAGCGCCCTGAGAGAGGGGAACTGGGGAACCATTACCATCCCAGTGGGCACACAGAGCTGTTCTGAGGGCTGCCGTTGCTTTCCTTGCTCTGCTGCCGTCTGCTGCTCCGATGCGAGCACAAGGATGAAGTGCTGCTGGGAAAGAAGAATGAATGGTAGGAAAAGCAAATCCCGTCCCATGCAGGAGGTGCCTCTGGGCTGCCCTGTGATGGGGGTGGGGGGGGGGGGGGGGGTGGGGGGGGGGGGGGGGCAGCATGGTCTGGAAATGCAGCACTGCCATCCGACGCCATCCCACAGTGGAAAGCAGCTCTCGTGCAGCCAGGGAAATCGGGTTCCCAGTCCTGAGCAGGAGCCCAGCTCTGCTCTCTGTGTGTTTCTGTGTCCTGCAGCCCGGACACATTCGCAGACACACCGCATGCACAACCCATTCCAGGCAGCCCCGTCAGGGGATATTTCTGGTCTGTGGATTTTATTACTGAGTGCTATTCCAGGCCTGCTGTCATTTACCGTGAGCTGCTCCGCAGAGCATCAGAATCACAAGATTTGTGCTATTTCAATCATTCCTTTGGAGCAGCCCAGACAAGGAGCTGGGCTGGGGTGAGCTCCCAGAGCCAGGCAGTTTGGAGCTCAGAGGCAGAAGGCCATGGCTGGCACGTCTGGGATGTGGGACACAGAGACCCCCTGCACTGTCCTGTGGCAAAGGACAGTGCTGGTTTTCCAGCTCTGTACAGGGGCTGTCTAATGTGCTGCTCCCAATGGGCTTTGCATGGAGCACGCTCTGCCTTTGGTCATCCAACAGTGAAACAGATTGCACGAAGCACTGCATGTTCCTGCCCCGTGTCCGTGAGCTCTCAGCTCCTGCAGCTCCTGCAGCCTCTTTCTGCAGTGCTGTGCCTTCCTGCTGGGCTCCCAGTGCTCTGCCCCTTCTGCTGTGAGCTGTGGGGCCTTAGGCTGAGCCTACAGCCCATGAAGGTGGTGGGGAAACCTGCACTGTAGGGCCAGAACTGCCCAGAGGCACCGAACCCACTGCAGCCCCACAGGGTTCCCATTCTGGCCCACTGCTGCCAGGAGCCGTGCTGTGCCACGGGTGGAGCAGAACAAAGGGCAGTGACAACACTCATGCTGAGAGGTGACCACCACCCCAGTGAGACAAAGGGAAAGCCCAGGGAGGGCCGGGACTTGCACAGATGCTCCTTGAGCTGCTTGGGTTTATGCTGTGAAAGCTCCCAGATACATCAGAGGAACTCCTCTGTGTCAGCAGAGCCATCAGCTGGCTGCAGCAGGAGCCCCTAACGAGCATCTCCATCCCACCCTCACTTACAGCCTCTTCCAGGCTGTCGGCAGAAGTGAAACTAAAATCAGAGCCATCATTCTTCTAAGGAAAATTCCAGTGCTACAGTTTACTGAACAAAGTGGCAGGCAGCCCCTGAAATAAATATAACAGAACTTCTCCGTCAGCATTAGAGCTCAGCCCTTTCCCACAGCAGAGGCGTTTCTCTCACCCTTCATGGCAGGCAGACACACAGCAGTGTGAGTTACAGCCCTGCGGTGCTACGATGTCCTGCAGCACGGCCACGGCTGCTCAGCACAGCTGCTCCACGCAGCCCCACGCAGCCCTGCAGACAGCAGCACGCAGCCTTGCAGCACCACACAGCCTCCCAGCACACCGTGGGACCAGCGGAGCTGCCTGCAGCTGGCACTGAGGACGCAGCCCCCAGCTCCCCATGTGTGCCACAGCAGCGAGCAGAGCACCGGGAGCTGCCGCCGCGCGCAGCTGTAATTAGCTGTAATGGTCTGGGCTGCAATTCAGGCCCCCGAGCTCAGCAGAAGTCATCTCGAGACAAGACAATTACCAGGAGGATGTTTTGTCTGACTGCTGAGACAGATGGGAATCTGAAAAATTCATGGCCAGGGCCTGAAATTGTTGCTCTCCCTGAGTAACAGCGGCTCGAAATACCCACACCAGCCAGCCCACCCCCAAGGAGCACAGGGCTGCAGCACGGCGCGGGCAGAGCCGGCTGCTCCCAGAGCAGAGGAGGAGCTGCATCGCTACTGCAGAACCCCACAGGACCAGTGACAACCCCATCCCCACTGCAGCAGCCCCTGGCAGTGCCTGGAGCATCCTCAGTGCGTGCCGCTCCTGCAGGCCACCCGACACCTCAGAAAATCACATGAATTAGCAAAAGAGGCTTTCTCAGTGATGCGCACATCTAAAAATTAAGAGCTGCAGTTGTTGGGTGTGTTTTTTAGATCAGCAGCTTTGCTCCTTCCCAGAGGCTTCAACCAGCCTGGCTTTTTCCTTCGTCCTAACTGTTCCCTTACTCTGTTTCACAGCCTCACACCATTTAAGCCCATCTGGGGCCCAGATGTGCTCGCTTTGTCCTTCCCCACACTTGGGGTCGGGG